ATCGAAAAAAGCATAGACGCGATCGAACCTTGTTCTTTACGGGTCGAGAGAAAAAAGTGAAAAAGTAACGCGTCGAGTTTTGTCGTTTTGTGACGGGACCCCGCGCAAACGGTGCTCTAAATTTATCCTTTCGGAACCATCCACACGCAATCTAGAATCGGTCTGCATACGTAACGGTGTCTATTACGAGAATGGAAGAGGCGCAATATCGTCTGCCAGCGAGCGAAGCTTTTATGGCACGTTGCCAAACCGATCACGGACCGATCCTTTCGGAAATGACATTCCCGTGAATTATGCGATTGCCTTCTCAGACATATGCCACGGGTTTCCCTGTATTAGCACACGAACCAACCGCGATACGCGGCCTCCCCGTTTAACTTAATTCTATTGGCAATCTGGCCGCGCCAAGGCACACGTATTACCATTCGCCTTATTTGTTCAGGCCGCACGGTCCTCCTTTCAATTCCGCGACGTAATCCTCCGATATATGAGTCTCGTTTGTAACTTGTAATCTTGCTCGAAACGTTCGACATAATTCAGAATTAGCCCCGCACCGTTTCGATCTCGCATTCGCACAAAGAACTCGGCGAAAATGATCGACCGATTTCAACGCAAAGCTACGTGTAAGATAATACTCGGGAGGATTCCATATTTTGGAATTTAAAACAATTGTACAGGGTATTCGGCCATCCTTTGAATTCTGGAGGCCAAAATAATACGAAAATCAAGATTACCAATTTCTTGGTGGAAGCTTCGTTAAAAAGTTGTTAACGTTTAAAGTTTCGCCCATACTGAATTTTTTTCTCGAAAGTGAGCAGGATTTCGGGGGTAGATGTATTCACCAAAAATGATTGTAATTGACCCCCGCAACCGAAAATAATTTTTCCAGAACGATTCGAAATTTTTTTTTAACCGAAAAATTTAGGCACCTACTCGAATTTTTTTCTCGAAAGTGAGTAGGATTTCAGGGGTAGGTGTATTCACCAAAAATGATTGTAATTGATCCCCGTAGCCGAAAATAATTTTTTCGGAACGATTTGAAATTTTTATTTTCGTCGAGAAATTTAAGCACCTACCCCCTGTCGATTTTTCTTAAAAATTCGTTTTTCATTTTTAATAAATTTGGTTGGCGCTATACAGAAAAGTTGTTTAATACTTTCTTGTAGGTATCCATGAACTCTACTTCCCCCCCCAAATTTGAATGAAATATATTCACTATTGTAGGAGTTATGGCTGTTTGGAAATTGGACGTTTTTTATTGGTTTTTTTTTATTTTGCGGGGTTAAGGAATAACTTTTCATATATTTTTGGAATGTCCACATATTCTTCACCGAAATACGCGTTGTTTGCATTTTAAAACATTAAAATCGTCCAATCCGTTCAGAAGTTATGCCACTTTAAAGATTCGCATGAAATTTCAGGCCTCGGATTCTATTTTCGCTAAGGAATTTTTTTCTCAAAAGTGGGTAGGATTTTGGGGGTGTGTCTATTGACCAAAAATGATTATAATTAACCCCAGCAACCAGAAATATTTTTTCCAGAATGATTTGAAACTTTTCAATTTCCCCGAAAAATTTCTTCACCTACCAAATTTTTTTTCTCGAAAATGCGTAGGATTTTGGGAACACGTGTATTCACCAAAAGTGCTTGTATTTGACCCCCGCGGCCAAACATAATTTTTTTAGAATGATTTGAAATTTTTAATTTAATTTTTTAATAACTTTCGACATTCTTGATTTTCGTCTTATTTCGGCCCCTAAAATCTTCCATTAAAATTTTTCCCAACTGAACACCCTGCACAGTCTGCGTAAGCAAGTTTGCTTGAAAACGAGATCCGACGGATAGCCAAAGTCGCCATGGAAAATAACTAAAAACGAGTTTTCTGGGTTAGACGTTCCTCTCGCGGTATGTAAAACATTCGCAATTTGTTTCTTCGTCCCCAAATTCCATTCTCCGGTACCACGGACGGTATTTTAGCCGCAAAAGTAATGAATTCTGGGTCCACTGTGCGTCGCTGGAATTTCCCTCCCCGAAGTTAGAATACACACACCGCCAACGCTAGTTCCTAGGTTACGAATGGTGCAATAATTATTCGCGTTAGAACTTTAAGCAACCGTGAAACGCGCGTCTCTGATGTTTCGTCGAGGAACCGGTGTGTTTTCAGTTAATCGCGACTGCAGTCGGTGATCGCGACAATGCTACCGCCATACTGCGTCCCATTGTTTGCCTGGCTTTTCACGATAGGCAAATTGGGATGCATAAAAGCGAATTGCAGCGTGACGCAACGAAGTCTGTTGCTGTACGAGACCGCGAAGCTTCTTGCAATTGATGTATGGACCGTCGCTTTTGCTAAAGTTTACTTTTTACGTTCCAGGCACTGTTACTCTCGCGGCTGCTAAATTTCCGCGTGCAAATATATGCGTGGAAACGACGTGCCCCGAAGGCTTTTTGTTCGCCCCTCGACCCCCTCCACCCGAATCAATTATCGTTTCATTCCGACGAAATTACCGATAATTCCAACGCCTGTCGGATTAAGGATCGATGTTTCCAAAAAAGCGCAAAAATTTTGGTGAGTTGACATAAGCGGCTTAGCGGCGTGTGTCTATGGGGCAGCTGTACCGTCGATCTATCGAAAACCCATCTCTTTATATATATTGTTCATAGCACGAGCATTAATCCCGTAAATACCGAAATTATCCGGGAAGGGCTCTCTCCGAAAGGCAGAAAAGGGCGCAAAATCACGGTAACGTGTAATCATTCGTCCAGGTAGAGACCGTGCACGAATACAAGGGCCATTTTGCAAATTCGAAAAGTATGCGAAGCATCGTTGAACCCGTTCGCGATTTCATAGATAATTTGAATTCCTTTCGTAGCAAATTTCGAAATTACTCGACGGTATTTTGGAAATAGAATCCGAAACGATGTTCGTGCGTATTAAACGCATCGTTGAGCGTACTATTTTCTAATTTTCTATTAAACTCCTCGTTTTGTTACGATAAACAAATTTGTTAACGTTCGATCGATGTTCTTCGTCGCGCCAGGATAGTCGATGGAGCCGTTTCAACGACGTTGAATAATTAAAATGACAGGAAAATAAAACCTAAAGAAGCTATTTGATTCCAATGGGATGTATTCGGGATTAGAAGTGTGTCCGAATCTAACCACAGAATTGGAATCCTAAGTGGGATCAGCCCAATCAGAATCCGATCGGCAAACTGTTGCACTTCTAAATGAGATCGGACTAGATTGCACGATCAAATCCTAATCAGAGCATGGGAATCGAAACCGATCTCGATTAGAAACCAAAGACTTTACCACGCTATTTGCTGCCGTATCGTCTATTGAACAATTTTGAGCAAACGATATAATTAAATAAATTCAAATTCCAGAATATACTTGTTCCAATATCTGTCTGTGGGGTTGCTTAAAATGAGAATGACATATAGTACGTTTGAACAAATAACAAATCGCTTTTCAGGAAGATCCTAAATCATATGAAGGCAAAAGAAATTTTCGAAAAAATGTGCAATGAAATGGTATGGCCATCTAGCGGAGAACATATTTCTGTACATCGACGCCGTAGATATCTGCTGATGATGCATAAAATAGACTTTGCAAACAATGTTTTCTCGTGTTAAGAGATCCAGGACACGAACGAGGTATAGAATAAACGTTGCAACAAATTATTTTTCATAACACATAGATTGGAGACCCCTTATAATTTCTGTGTCACTTGCAACGTTATCGGTGCACACTGGAATTCGAATTTAGCACTCATGGTGTTTAGAATGAAGACTAAATATTGGAAGAATTTAATTATTTTTGAAGCAATCAAAATTAGGTCTCAGGAGTAGTATCACAGACGAGGTATACGAGTCAAATACACTCGTCTGTGGTCAAATACAGATCGATTCATGTTTAGATCACTTTCGACTCTCGGTATACTTAGTTTTATTTCTCACCGTGTACGGCGTTGAATTCTTATTCCATACTAAATCAATAACGTTGAATTGGCAAAGAGGTTTTCTACAGTCCCCAGAGTCTTTGAATAGAAGGTTTCATCGAACATATCCTGTCTACCATATACTTCGTTCGCAATTTTATTAATATTAGTAATATTAATTCTTACACAGAAGTTTCTACGGAATATCTATGGATCATTTTGCGGTCGGTAACATGGACCTGTCGCTTTCGTCAAAAATTAGATGCTCTTGTCTTAATTATATTTACCTGTTTCTGTAGATTCATTGGAAGTCATTAATTTGTCAAATTAACCGAACGTGTCAGGAATCATAGGGCAGTCGATATTCATAAATAGATCGTATGTTGTCAGGTTTGCTGAAACAAATTTTAATGGGAAAGTTTGTCACGTTTTGCACATTTGTATGATTAAAAGTATAGACAAGTGAGGTAATCGACCATTTCACCAACAGTTCTATAATCGACGTGTGTGCCAAGTGGGTGAAGTCTTCCCCTCACAATATATTCTTCAAGCAAAGCGATTCAATCGGGCAGTCTACAGTCTGTGAATGCGAGAGGAAAGTTTTTAGGCGTAAATGATTTCTTAAAATAAACCGGTAATCCGCGAAACCTTCGAGAAATGTTTTTCAAATGCCGAGGAAAAGTTTGTTATTTCAGTTACACTGGTGCACGAGGATGTATTCAATTCTTGTGAATAAAATGCTTTCAATCCCGCTCGTTATGCAACCGCGTTAACCAATGGGAACACAGCATTGCCAACAACCGTAAACTACGCGAAGAGACCTCGAGCTCATTGTAACCATTTCAAAATCATATTTAAAGTAGGATCATCCTTCAAAAATACTTTTAAATGCTTGAGTCAGATGCTAACATAAGTGCAATAAATTTCCATGTGTGGGTCGATTGTTGGAAATAAAAGTTGGTGGGGATTTGAAGAAACGGACTAAACGGAGCGACGAAGACCGAACGTTGCCGATTCAACGTTCGAGTGTATTCGGCTTGGTATACGAAGTTCAGGTCTGAATCGGGATTTCCGAACTACATTCGTCGTTCGCCTCGAGAAGTGTTAAGATCGTGTCCGTTCTATGGTGCTATTCTATTTTTCTTTACATCGCGTGATCAAACTGCACATATTTTTATACACTCCCCAATTTAATATAAAAAAATCGTCTCTAAGATATATTAAGTATGGCGTTAACAAGTGGTGCTATGTATAACGCGCGAACCGTCGTTCCATCGTTCATGTCGTCAAATACATATTACGGTTACGTGCCGCCCTATAGAAAAGAAAATCAACCTAACGCTGTGCTCGAGCATGCGGAAGTTAATGAAACGTCGGTATTTGATCGCTGTTCTTACGATACAGCTATGGAAACTGACGATGACGGATGTGATTATTCTATGGCATCTCGCTATATGAATAACGCTTCCGTGATTCTAGCTGCGTCGGCACAGTGTCGGTTGAAAACTAACGATCACCAACAACACCGTCAACAACAGGCGGCCCACGGCGACGCGGATACGCTTCGACGCCGGAACCGGAAGCGGTGCAACGATGATCTCAGTCCTACCACCGAGCTGAAAAAGTTTCGTGAAGGTAGGAGAGAATTCGTAATTTCATTCTTTCGAATATTTTTGTACGAAGGATGAAGAGAGACGACTGAAATTTCCATTTACGTGGACGTTACACAAAACTGCGACCTCATCAAATTCATATTCGTACGTGATTCAAATAATCTTGTTAGAGGTCGTTGTTTCCTTCGCCCTCTCTGCGTTTAAGCGGGAAAATTTTTGAGCGCGGGAAAACATTTATTGTAACAAAAATACACGAACCGCTACCGATGAAAATGATTAAATGATGCTATCATTTAATGTCACTTTGATAATATGTTTGCATAATTAAGATATTAAAATGTATGAATATCCGATTTTCCCTCCTGAGGGGGACAAGGATTGTATATTTACATGTGACCACAGAGATTTTCATCCGATCCTGGCATTAAATTTATTTTGAAGCTTAATGCATCCTGTCATCTTCTGTACCATGGATAATGGTATGCAATGGAAAGCACAGGTGCTAATATTTTTTCATAAACTAATGACACTTAGTAAGTTTGGTCTTTTTTTGATGGTAAGGACATAATTTGCTGACAAAATGGAAGACATATAGGATGTATCCAACTAAATTAGTTTTGTTAACTCATCGGGTTTTCTTTCAGAGGCGGTGGTAACCACCACACACACTATGGTACAGGGAATACAAAAAACAATGGATTGGCCAAGGTGTCGTATGAGTCTGAACTACTGCATCTAAATACAAATGGTGATGAGACCTGGGAGCAAGCCGCTATCATAAACAAGGGCTGCTGTTGGGCAGCAGGTAATGATAATCTATTAAATAATTCAGATTGTAAACATTTATTGTCAAGCAATGGGTTCAAATCGATTGAAAACAATGTTGAATATGAGAAGATTTTATTTGAAACTCATGGGTGCTCTATATATCACCTTCATCGGTTACAACTGCTTGATAATGACTGCACAGAAACAGAATTTTAAATAGAATATTTGACAATCATTTTTAATGTTTATATTTTTTGTATTTGTAATGCAAAGTGTATATTCATTATGCATACGTATGTCATTGCACTGTATTGTATGATTAAAAATAAATATTTACTTTTCTAAATTACATTCTTCTTATTATAATCTAAATAATACATGTTACGAGTAAGAAAGTTTTTTTTCACAACTTTTCTTTAAAATTAAATTATTAATGCTTTAAAAATTACTTCAAACAATAAAAGTACAATACTTAACACGTTCATCGCCGCGTCAAATACGGACGACGAACGTACTAAGGGAATAAAGGTTGGATTCCGACCAATGTAAATATGAATGTGAAGCTTTGAAATTCACAGAAAAGGTATGAAAACCTGTATGATACATTGGTTCAATGAGTACTAAATTGAAATATTTTATCAAACAATCCATCAGAATATCATTGCACTGATTTTCGTTCCTCTTTCTTCAGCTTTTGCAATCAGACCTTGAAATTCTTTTATCAAACAATGCATCAGTATTTAATATGTATTAAACTAATCTACATCTATTTCACCAAATGCTACTTGAGTAGGTGCTACTGGTCCAGCAGCCTCCTCTTGACCTTGGTCATTTTCTTCTTCGTTATTAGAAGGCTATGAAAATACAATTCAATTGTATTTCCTACTAGTCACTTTAATTCTCATTCAATTGTCTTAACTTCGAAATACCTGTTGATTACCAGATGATTCAGGTCTTGATTGATCAGCTTCTGCCAGATCTTCATTGCAGCCTGGTTTAATAGCAGGTCTCAGACCCTGTACAAAAAATATATTAAATATTAAATATTGTTTCTACTGTACGAAATAATATTTTTTTATTGAAACAGCTTACTGGTATATCCCAATGATCTATCCATGGTAGATGTATAGTAGGAGATGATGAACTTCCTGCTTGAGATGATACAATTAATTCTGCTACAGATGACTGATTTTCTGTACTCGCGCCTAATACTGCGTCTATTTCAGAATCTTCATCGCTAGACTGACAACTTTCACTAGCCGTTTGATCGATCGTTTCATTCTATAAAAAGTTTAATAAGTGAATGTGATTCATAAATATATGTGTATATGCGTGTTTTCACACACATGCAATAGGTTTTTTTTTGTAACTGGGGGTGTAAAGGAAATGCAACGGTCAATCTTTTTCTTTTAATGAAACTACTAGTTTTCTATGGTAAAATTACTAATAAATTCTGAGTATGAAAATATTATGGCACGTCTATCCTAAAGCTAACATTTTTCGAGCGATTTGGCTACTAAAGTATTACTATTTGACCTTGAATGACCTTAAATTTCATAGTTGAATTCGTCCTCTGAATCATAAACAGTATGCTGTTCTTTGAAATTGCAAATACTGAAATGCATATCCTGCAAAATTTAATTTTTTTAGTTATACCATTACAAATGTCAAAAATATCTCTCTTCTTTACACTCTCCTTTACAAAATTTTTTGAATGTATTTTCGTATATCATCAAAAGTGAGTTACTCGGGTGATCCATCTTATGTGCATCACCCTGTATATGCATATAAATAAACATGAGAAGTGTACAAACCAATGGATTGCTTGGAGGTTGCATATCTTGTAAAGCACGCAGTAATCTCAATAAACGAGGTCGTAATCTATGATCTTCGCTTATGGTCTTGATTTCCCTTAATACAGTAATTAAATAATCTGGTTGTTTCTTATTCACTATAACAAGTGAACTTAAAACTTCTTTCATTTCAGAGCTGTATAATGCATTTAATAATATATATACTTAGTTAGAATATTATTTTCAGATTAATGTAATTAAAAGGTAATTGTTTAAAAGAAACTAAACCTTAAAGTTTGAAATGGGTGTTCATCATTTATTATAGATGGGAGACGAAACGATGAATGTGCTTCTTCCCAAAGGTTATCAACTTGCGGTTGGGATACTTCATTTGTTAGAATATTACTACGCGTAACAGCATTCTCTCTTTCCTGCTGTTGTAAGTTCGATTGTAATTGCAAATTCAAAGAGTACTGTGCTTCTGCTCCGTTTAACGAAGGCAAAGGTATATTATCACCTCCTTGTTCCCGATTACGTTTGTCCTTTCTGCGGTTAAAGTTCATAATGTATGAAAATAGAATTTCATTTGTATATGCTTACTGAATAATTTATGTAAATTACATACATAAGAGAGCTATTAACACTTGCTATAGCATTTCCAGACGATGTTGAATTTCCAATGGGTCCTGAAGTTGCATCCGTCATAGTTTTTACACTTCCTGATAGTAGATTTTGTCTGGAGTAACTGAAAATTTAAAAAACGAACATATAGTTATCAATTTTATTACACGATTATTTTTCAAATGTGCATACCATGCTTGAGTAAATGTCTGGTAGAACAAAAAACATAACGAAGGGTACAAAATAGTAACACATTGGTGACATAAAAAGAAAGGGAAGCTGGTTATTTTTGTTTTAGCATGTATTGTTAGTCGAGATCAAAATATTTTAGAAGTATTTATCCTTGAACACATTGTATTACATACCCATAGTTTACGTACCACATATACTATCCTCATTTAGTTTCATATTCATTAACCATTGGACTATAGAATCAAAATCAATAGTTTTTACTTGCGATATGGTTTAAACGAGGGTAGTAATAAGTAAGAAGTACAAGTCAAAAAGTGCACAGATAGACCGTGAAGTTTATTACTTTATGTAATGATACATTAGGTTTACACAAAGATGGAAGATGGATGTGCACGATCTAATAATTATAAAATACCTAAACTCATAAAAAATCGTATTTTTTAATGGTATTCAATCGAGAAAAAAAAAGAACATTGTTTATTTCATATAATAAAAGATCTGTAAAACTCAACTTCATAAATCGGAAAATAAATCTTCTATTAAATGATTACATAATTGAAAAATCTTAGCTTCGTATATGATACTATTGTATCAATGTCGATAACACTTCCACAGCGCTAGGGCAAATGATAAAATTTATATCAGCGTACATATATGTTCTATTACCTTCTGAAATTATCCCAATAGTTGTTTGCTCTGTTCCCCGGTGGTACTTGATTATTCAGTTGCTGTTGTTGTTGTTGGGAATTTGCAGAAGTTGCACCAGCATTGTGAGATAACGCGGGAGAAGAATTTGGTAATGACACCAAATTCGGTAGTGATGAACTTGGTGGCAATGTAGAATCTAATGTTTCGCCGAGATGATGAACATTACGGCTTAAGTTAGAATATTCATCATTATTCTCGCTGTTGTTACTTCGCTGTTGCGATTGGTTTTGTCTCAGTTGCACTTGTAACTGTGTAACAGCTACACGCATAGCTTGCAATTCACGTTGCTGTGACCACAACAATTGGCAACATTGTTGTAATGTTGTTCCCATCATTTGAAGTTGTTGAGATTGAGACCCTAACAATAATCGCTGATAATAATCTGACGAAGCTAGAAGGAAACATCAAATTTATTGCATCTCGCAATTATCGTGTTTTAGTTTCTTACTGTCTTGCTACTATTTATATATTTTACCAATTTGTGACTGATTTAATGGGGGTGGTATCCACCAATTCCCATTGAATCCATTTTCAATTACTGCCGTTTGAGGACCTATATCCATTAAATTTTCTGTGGATATGCCATCTACACTTTGATCATTAGACCCTCCTGCATGCCAAAAGGTAATTTTGAAATTAAATGACATAGTGAATATAAAATAGATTTTATTTACCTGTTGCTGCTGAAGGGGGCCAAACGTTAGCGGGAGTACTTGTATGACTGATATGTGAACTGGAACTTCGGTGACTACTTAAATCGGTTGGTCCTCCCATGTCGCGATTGATGCTAGATGATTGAGATGAATCCTATTTTTTTTTATGAAACATAAATCATATAAACGTTAAATACTAAATAATTTATGTAAAAATAATCACAGTTTTGAAAATAGATACCTTCCGCATAAGATCTTCAATTTGACGTCTTTTTCCTTGATTTGGTTGGATCTCGGAATTGCTGTTATTATCTTGTTTTTTATCAGAAGAGGTTGATGTAATTGATGGGGGAGGGGTTGATGTCGGAAAGACGGATGTGGAATTCGAATGAATTGTTGATGCAGCTGCTACTGGCCGTTTCAATCGTTGTATTTCTGCCCTAGTTGTTTGTAACAAAGCAGATTGTTCTCGAAGTTCTTGTATAACGGCCTGTAATATAAATTGTTGTAACTTATAACAAACTTTATTTATGTTTCATGATTTTACCTCAATGTCTTCAACTGTTAGTCTATCTCCAATGTTTCTAATTTTTTCATTATTTATCTCGTCAATATCACTTTGTCGTTCGAACGAAATATTCGTCCCATTTTCTTCTTCGTTAGTGTCCATAGTAGCTGCAGTTTCCCCATTCATATCTACTTCGGGTTCAGCGTCAGAATTAGAATCGAGACAATCACGAGCTGTTGTTATCTCTTTCATTAATGCTTTCAAATGAGCAAGTTGTGCTTTCATAGCTTCTAACTCAGCAACTTTATCTCTTCCAGCATTTCTTAAACCTTCAGAACTCTGAAATATACAAATATAATCTAATAATTTCTTTTTATATTATCTATATCAAATTAATAAAAAGAGTAATATACTAACACAACTACCCCTAACAGACATCTCTACAGCTTGGAATGCGGCTACGAGGTGATCCATATGTCTCTTTTTTGTTTGAAGTTGAGCCAGTTTTGCAGTTTCAGATTCAAGTTGTTCAACATTCACGGGCAATGATTGACTTAAACCAATTGAATTTTGATTTACTTGTTGTACAAGCGCTTGTCGAGCTTGACGGGCTTCGCTTAATGTTTCCGACACACGTAATTGCATTCCAATTACACTAGCCTGATGTTTTAATAAGTGTGCAAGTTTTCGCTGTAATTCTTCCATCTTGCGTAGTTTTACTTCCCTACTTGATTCACCATTCTCGTCGTCATTTTCACCATTCTGAAAGAAAGATAATCGATGAGTTTCATTTTCAATGAATGATAAATTTCTATGCAGGATGTTCGACCGCCCCTGGGAAAAATTTTAATGGGAGATTCTAGAGGCCAAAATAAGACGAAAATCAAGGATACTGATTTGTTGACTGAGGCTTCGTTAAAAGGTTATAGAAACATTTCTGGCCGCACGGTATATTTTCGGTAAAGAATTTTTTCTCAAAAGTACGTAGGATTTCAAAAATGATTGTAATTGACCCCCGCAACCGAAAATAATTTTTCCAGAATGATTTGAAATTTTTAATTAAATTTTTTAATAACTTTTTATATTCTTGATTTTCGTCTTATTTTGGCCACTAGAATCTTCCATTAAAATGAGTTCTCAAGAGTGGCTGAACACCCTGTGTATAGACAGTAACCTCGCAGAATATTCCATGATTTTGATATTGCTCCAATAGTCTGGACAATTTCCTTTCACTGTCATGAAGACCCTCCAGCAATGTACCCAACTTTTCAGTTTGAGCTTGTGCACGCTGTACAGTAATTATACAAAAACGTAAATATGAAAAGTATGTAATACCGCGGGGGAAAAAAATTTCGTGCGCTTGATCATTTTCTATACAATTACCGAATCGCTAGATTGATTAAGTGAATCCATCAGTGATGTTGTAACTCTGATACACTCTCTAATCTCATTTAAACGAGATTCTACTTGACTTTGGTCAGGCTGTAATAAATTCATTAAGAAAAAATTATACTCCCATTTTATCTTAAAAAATATCAACTATTTAAGTAAAATAAGAGTGTTGTATTACCATTTTATCAACATTAGAAGGTTTTGTTCCTTGAAATCTTGGAGGTGATTGAGTTTGAGAATCTGTGGGTGGAACCATTTTTCGCCTATATGTGATTTCTTCTGCTGTGTGATTGTATGGTCATCCACAAGTATACGATGCCATTGCAATAAGATTTAGAAGTTATTAGGTAAGAAATTATGAAAGCACAAGGAAAAACAGAATATTTAAACTTTTACCAAATTCGGGTATATCTTGATAAGCTGTTGATGGTATTGAAGAATCTGATCTTGTGTTACTATTCTTCTTTATCCCTAAATGTTCCCTTTCACTGACCGGTTTCCAATCAAGTTGATACTGTTTGATAATTTGGAAAATAGAAGAAATTGATTGAATATATAGAGAAATGACTATAATTTCTAGAAATGGTGAGTGGAACACTGTAACTCTACTGCTTCGAGGTAGAATTGTATCTGGATATGTATTCTTAGAGAGAACTTCCCCACTATTCAGCTATCTATTAATAGATTATCTTTTGAACTGCTATATACAGATGCTGCATAAAGTTTTCATTTACAAAGTTCAAATTACATTAAATTTAGAAATTATGTTATTTTTAATTATTGTAAAATGTTTAACACCGTACAATGATAAAATGTATTCTATACTTCTGATTAGCAACATACAAATTAAACAACAACAGAAGTATTTAAACTTACACAAGAAAGATCATTATTTACCTTGTTACCTTAACTTAAAAGTAATTAATGTATAATACATTGAATTATATATTTTAACAAATAATTAACAAATAACTTGCAATAACAAGTAAAGATAGCATACATATTTTTTAATCAGTTTACCAAATTGTTAGAATGCTGTGCATGTCCATGATAAGCAGAATGGTTTGCAAATTGATTAGCATCTGATTGTTCTCTGTTTCTATCATTTCTTCTATTGCTTTTTGGTAGAGTACCCGTGTTGCGTGGACCATGATTAATACCCGATGACATTCTTTTCGTTTAAATATTCTTACACCGTTGTGAAAATCCCTTTGTTCGTTGACTTTTCGCGGTTAACCTTGTTGCACAACTTTTATCGCGACATCGTTTTAGAAAAACGTAACTTTATACGAACATGAGGATGTCATTTACCTGTAACTATTACAGAGTCGATTATACGAGAAGGTGCATTTCGAACATGTAATAAATAACTGAATCGGTGTTCGTCCTAACAAATGTTATAAGACGGTAGTATAAAAGTATGAATTGGTATTCACGAGACTCTTACGTCAAAATACTTGGCAGACTAATAAAAAGAATTGGATACTATAAATAAGTTAGGCCATTGACGCATTTACCGCGATGATTATAAGAATATATCGATTGTAGTATACAAATCACTCTCGGTTACTCATGGTTACTTGTGGCCACGGCCATTTTTAAATACTTATTTGACATGTTTGGTTGTTAATTACAACATGTATTAACAGTACGATAACATTGCAATTATTCATGTAAAAGTGATATACTTTAATAACTGCTCGTTACAATAGTTGGAATGTTACAATAAGAAATGGATATTCTTCTGAATGGCATCCATGGCTGATCAACATAAAATTTGGAGGGAAAAAGGAGAGGGAACGGATGCCAAATATAATATTTTAGCTTCGGGAATTAAATCGGTCCCAAGATATTGATAAAGAAATGTTAGAAATTATATGTACGTACAGCTGCCTAACATGTACAGTATCTTCATTGTGTAGTAGCCCTCGTATCGTCGTTGAACAGATTCCTGCTATCAGACATACAATGTTTCAGTAGGGATACGTCTTTGAATCTTCTAAAAAGTAAATCTGTATTCCACAGAAAATGGACTCGCCTTTTTTAAGTATAATTTTAATTTTATTCATCGGAAAATGTTAGTGTAGAATATGTTATTCTAACCCAACCTAAATTTGTAGGCTACAAGCAGCCCTTCGGTCGGCTACGAGCCAATCTAAATATCATATCGATCGGTCCACGAGTGCTATTCGGAAGAACAGCCTAAAAAATTTCTCTATTCAATCTCGTATTATTCGATAATTATCAATACTGTTGTTAATAGGGTATGGTTATGATACATAATTTTTTTAGTATTTCTTTATTTTCAATATTATAAACAATTTTGTGCTAATATCGTGTGTGTCGCAATTTAAGAAAACACACACGAAATCCGTAATACCGATGCATTAAAATCCGCGGTGCACGCTAGTTACACGAATATTCCGCGTTGCTACAGATAGCGCTCATGTTGATACGTGGCGACACCTGCCCATGGAAAGAAACATTAAACTGAGCGCATCGCGCCATGACACTTGCAGAGGGACGCTGTGTTTCGCGCCCATGGCCCGAGGGGTTAATAATAAATAACCGATTCCGTCACATGTACGCTACTCCTACGTGCTTTACATCCAGTCTTTAGAACCTAGGCAGCGCCTATGACAGACGACGTAAGCCTCGATGGTGTCGCACACGCGGCTTTTTGCGTTTCCTCGAAGTATCGCTCGCGAGCAACTGATACACGCAGATCTCTGAAGCGTTTCAAAAAGAAAGAGAGAGTCAAATAGAGATCGAAAGTAAGCACAATAACAGTTTGCATCGACGTCGACGATCAGTCGATCGTCGATCAGTTCACCGTATGTTCTTATTGCATCGAACGTGATATTATACAGTTTCGTTCGAAACCAGTTTACCCGGGTATAGAACGGGTATGTACTAGTGATTTCATTTCGCGTGTGAGTGTATGCTGTGCAGCTCCTTAGAGTTTACTTGGATTTATCTCCTGACGCTGTGAAATGCTGACAAGCTGGCAACATGAATACGGCAGTATAGTTCATACGGACACACGGCTCTGTATCTGTGAGTACTAGTTTTCTCAGATATTTCATTGTTCTACTGCGACAAATGCGTACGCAAAACGTTAGAGGTTATATCTCGTATGGTCACATTTAAAGTACACGCAGAACGACAGGACAGGTAGAATATGAAGCCGCACTATTGCAAAGATAACGTGATGTTTACACATGCTTGTGTCACAAGGATCGTTCGTACGCGTATAACGAAATAATTTATTACAGTTCTATTTTTTTTCAACTATTGAGTTCGACATTACACACCTATTGACATAAGTATTTGAGAAATTCGTATTATCATCTTATACCTCCTTTCACGATACTAAATAGGACAAGTATAAATCATTGAGAATGTTTATACGTTCTCCTTTATTCTATAGTAAATGATACATCGATCTTTGAAAGTTATATATATTTACAACGCAACTATTCTAGAATTGTAGGACTGTGTATATCTGACAAGAGAAATGGTAACTTTCATTCAATCCACGTTGCCACAAGTTTCTTTTAAATCACGTACTTTTGAACCATGCAACTTCCAGTGAAAATGTCAAACGTGAAACGTCGACGACTCGCGTGTCCTTTATTACAAATACAATAACAGAAATTCGAAACATTTGATCTTGACACGAATTAAAGCCTCTTCTTGTCGTAGTTGAATCTTCGTCCTTGCGATGTTCGCATGTTGTATCTAATTTCTACAATGATCGTATAAGGACATACTCGACTTGGAAACATCACATGGAATAATTTTGCCCGGCGAGTCGTTGAACGTCATCGACTACGATATCACGATAGTACTAATGTCATCTATATTTATGGAATATCCGCGTGACTGCGGTATACCCGTTGCACTTAAACTTGACTACTTGTTGCATAATGCACCGACCACGATGACCTAACTCAACTACCTCTGCAACGTCTTCGTGCGTTTCCTTCTCTCGTACGCGTATCGTAAGTAAACGTCGGCGGTCGGGCAGGTATACGAAACACCCGGTATGCATACGTTTCGTTACGAACGTACGAAAAGTCGATACCTTTCGTTTCTTTCATTCAACAATATGAGCCTGCTGGCCTTGTGGCAAATTTCACCTGGAATGATCGATAAACACGGTGGCGTGTTAATACTAAATACTAGGGTCGATTCACGCTATCGTATGTTCATTTTTCGCTCGAACAAGTTGCAAAAGTAGCTGATTCGTCTCTTCGTTAAACGCGGAGACGCTCTTAACCTAAAAGGGGGGGTTCGAGGTAAATGTCCTCCCGAGGGCCCTCTTGCGCACAATTTCGAAGCAGAATAACAATTTGATGAGAAGGCAACTTTACATTGTACCAAATCGAAAATCCATCGATATATCGCTAAAATCCATTAAATGGTACAACGGTAAACTCCCTAGTTAGCTGAAAACAACCAATCAAATATAATGTTACAGCATCTTTTTATTTTTTAATTACTGGAATTGTGCTCGTAAGGTGACGCTCGCACACTCGCGCTCTTGTAGACACGTATCATCCTATTCAGTTGCAACTTTGTATCCACAATAGGCAACGTTCATGGAGGTAATTTTTTAAATGCGACAAGATTTGTATCCAACGGTTATTATTTTATACATATCCGGTAAGAAACAGACGGGCGGAACTGATCTTTCGTTCTCTCTACAGTCTGTTATACGAATATATTTATAGTGATACAACTTATTTGAGAGTTTTCAGAGATCGTTCGTTACAGTTCCGGAGTTGAGAATGGCAAATTTAAAATAGAGGACGGAACATTCAAAATCAACCGGAGTCGTTTGAAACTTGCTATTTGAACCATTGTCTGGAATTATAATTAGGCTGAAAATCGGTTGTAAGATACTGTTTTAGCGGAGCATAAGTAAGTTTCTATTTCGTTCATTTATTTTTTCATACATCCTCTTCTTTTAAAAGGGTTTTCTACTTTAGATATTTAAAACAATTTTGTTTATTTTCATTTAAATTATTGGAGAATTTTAAGGTAGCCGTGTTTAAAAATCAGCACTTTTGCATTTAATGAAGGACGCGCTGTGATTAAACCAATCACTGAATTTGAATACCGAACTTTGTTGCAGTATACATAATTAAACTACCTGCTCTTAGCTGACGTCCCGAAAAATTCCACCAATAAATTAATCTTCATAAAATTTGGTACACGTAAAATAAGTATCTTGTTGGTTGGGACTAAAATCAAGGATGTCGTGTTGTTTTTTAAATTCGAAGAAAATGCTTGAGACGACATCTTTTGACACTGAATTATCATTATAGTGTTTAAGTGAAAAGATCAGAAATAAATGGCTCTTTTTTCCAATTCTACAGATCTTGATAAAATAACACGCAGAAGTAAGAACGTAGCTTTAGATGGCTCAAATCCGGATCAGCTTTAACAGATAGCACTAGAATCCTGTACGTGGCTTTGTTCCTGCCTATCCGCACACCGTATTGCGTTTGTATGGAGCACGCACACATAACGCAGCAACAGTTAGAGTTACTTGTAACGCGGGACCTGTTCTCTACTAACAGACACAAAGTGAGGGAAGCATCCCTAAGCTCCGGGGCTTATGTTGAACAGGAATGTAGTAGAACGTTCTGATAGCGGAACACGCAGGTAATGGGAGATTCAACTGTATTTTTAAACTCGTGTTAGGGATTAGACCGAATCACGTTTGTCGAATGGAATTGCCTCGACGTTGATTAAAGCACGCGTTGTTTAGACAACGACGCAATACGGAACGAATTTTCTCTCACGTGAGCCGCATATGTCGCTGAACGTCGGCCAGCTTTTCATTTCGTTTGTCCCAATTTCATAAAGTTATTTCTGTGAAGAATGGGGACGGCTTTTGTTTCAGCCCCACCCATTCACCCGTTCTAGCGAATTTATGCCGATGTCATAAAAATCCGGTTTGGCAAAAAGTTCCGCCTTCGATCTTGACGTTGCTTTTCGCGGGTGGTACTTAACAGATCGTGCCAACCGATGTTATCGCGGACTACTTCGAACAGTCTTCGAGCAGCGTTATCAAATAACGATAATAACGACGAAATTTGATGGCATTGATCCATCGTTTATACGTAGTGTGTGCAATCATGATTTTAACCGTAACTCGATTTATATACGCAAACAGGTAGTTTGATGTTTAAGGGAATGCCGTTTGGAACTGATTAACTCACGTGTGCGCGACAGATGCGTCGAAATGCAACCTGTTTCCAAGTGGCTCGCAGATGCATGTCTGCGCCGACAACCGCAAGCTTAGGGACGTTGCCAATTACGAAAACGTGATTTGGAAGCTTGCCCGCGTGCGTAATTAAAATGAAATTCACCAGCGTCGTTTTCTTTCTGGACATTGTATTTATTGTTGATGGAGTGCCCGTCGTTTCTCGAAATCTGTCGTTACGAAATAAAGATAAAGATTTAGGCTACCCGGTGATTTCACTTGATAAATTTTTTAGAAACGACTAGGGCACCGTTGCAACGTAAAATATTTAAAAAAAACAACATCCCGCGATACATAAATTAATTTCTTGCTATTAAATTGGT